ACTCGTAATTTAATCTTCACTAGGATATAACAGAAATATGTGAGTATCTTTAGAAATCTGTCAACAAAAGGATGCAAAAGCAATGTACACGCAGTTATGTTTTGTAGAAATCTTGTTATCCACAGTTTTCTAGCACATCAACGTCTTTCTTACAAAGTGTAACTTAAAGCCACTTAGTGAAGTAGAAAGATTTTATGTACCATAACCAGACACTTTGAATATGAATGGTCTCACTTACTGATTTCTTATTCATGAGGTACAGTGCCTTGATTGTAAAGATACAGTGTTCGCCTTCAGTTCTAAAGTGTTCGTTTTCACCAGGCTAAATTCGAAACTCATTTTTACTTCAAGTAACTTTTTACGATAGTCTCAGTTTTTATTTGTATTTCGTATTTTAAAATACTACAGTTTTATTATACCGTCCATGCAGGCATGGGACAGATGAATTATATACTAATGTTACGAAATAAATTACGTGAATTTTATTATTATGTCCAAAAACATATTATCCCTAAGGACATTATGTGGAAACAACAAAATACTTATTCACTAATATCTATTTTACTGCTGTCGTGGTCACTTTGTTAGGTTCAAATGATGTTAGGGAGACTAAATAATAGACGTTTTCTATAGAAAAACTGTGATTACAGTTAAGGACAGCACTTTCCACTTTCGGCATCGTCTGAAATCTATGCAAAAATTAAGAAGTGTATATCGCTTCGTTATAAACTCGATATCTCCAAACATCTCTGAGAGATGTATTTTACCTGCTGTTTAAGACAATATAAGGCTGACGAAAAATCTGGGTTTATCTAGCTTATTTCTGTCTCAGCAAATATGTTTTTAATTAAGGTTCTAACTTATACATTGCACAAATGAACTGATTCTTCACCCAGATGAGACAATGTTCTATGAAAGTGTTTCTACCAAGGTTTACGAACATGAATTATTGTGTTGATATGTATTTGTAATTAGGTTTTTTACATTACTTAATTATCACTAGTATTTTTGTACTCTTATGAATACTTCTTTATGTATGATGAAAGGCCATTTGCTTTAATTTTCTAAACTTTACACATCCCCATAATTTAAATGAAAAAGTTATTTTATCGACTGAAACTGTTCGTTAATACACTACTCCTTTAATGTTCTATTTCGACCATCACATAATTATCAATTAAGTACAATCCAAACCACAATTTTCTGTAACATAATGAATAATATATTTCAAGCTACCGTGACACAGTAACTTCGTAGGCCACGTTTCTTTAATATTCTTCCTTTTATATCATTTAGTTTTATTTTTCAGTCTTTAAATTCTATCCGACGTATTGTAGTACATGTTTAGCGTATAACTGAATACGGTTGTAAGGTGATAAAAAACTGAGCATCTCTGGTTTGTGAACTACTTAATCTATTCAACAAACTTTCAGTAACTAAAGTGATTACTTATTTCACAACAAGTATTAAGTATGATTTGTAATAGTTTTCTGCTAATCTTCTACCTTTTCAAAAACATTAACATTATAATTTTTGGAATATTTAAGTCAACTTGGTTCATAGAGCTTCACAAACTAACTTGAAATTTCTGATAGCAGGATGGATTAAATAAAGCCAAAATTTGCATGAGATGTCCGCTGTTAGTGTTATGATATACTTTTTTGGCACTACATCAGAAACTCCAACTTCAGAAAAGCAAAGTGGTTATGCCTGAGGACTGAAGAATGAATCTGGTTTACTACTTTTTTTTGGTACAATCTACATTTAATGTGAAACAATCATAAACTTTAGATATATTATAAGGTGACCTATATATATATATCAGAGTTCTGAATAAATAAAGGCAATTTATTTCTTAATATTCCGCCACATAAACTTCATCTTTATTATTCGGACTAACACTTAAATTTAAAATACGTGAAATATCAGAGAACTAAACTCGAACAGTGAAATTTCGGCAAAATAATTAAAATGTGTCCTTACTTTTCATATAGATAGTTTTCCTGAGATTGATATAACTTGAATATTTCAAGAAACGAACTGGGATCAGGTGAGGAACTACTTGGGTCCAAAGATCAGCGAGAAGCTTTTTTGATTTGATTTGTGATTTAAGTTCTATCATCTTAATTGATTCACTACTCAGTACTATTTTTATCGATGAGCTACTAATCCAGCCACAGTTAGATTGACTTCAGGAATTCCGAGTCCTCACTAAAAATTCGAAGGCTTCATGTTATTTGTAAAACGATAGAAAAAGAATTACACAGCATATGCGCAAAAGAGTCATTTGAGCTGGATAAGTTTATTTTACAATAATGATCATGATATCTAAACTTACAATCTGTTGAAGTAAGTGAGAACAGTTATTAGTTTGAAATTAGATTAATATCGGTATGTTACCGTATGAGAATCTCTAGCAAACAAAAACGTAGCAACAATTCAGTTCAAAATTAATAATTTCAGGTTTCCGTATACTGGTAATCCCAAGATTACTTGATGGCGATTTTTTCAGGAATCTATAATGTACTTTTTCCGTATAATTTCTGCTTCACTTAAGGTGTTAAAAAATAATTCACGACTGATGATTATTTTTATCTCATTAAACCTATGGCAATTAAAATAAAACTAGAATTCATTTTTGTCCTATAAATCTTTTCATTGCTACCATGTTGAAAACCATTTAAAATGACAGACTTGGACGATTTCTAGAAAATAACTCGACATCCACTCGATATTTCATTAATCACTTTGTCAGATAACTAGGAAAGCGGAAATTCATCCGACTCTGTGATAGTACTGGTAATGAAATCTTGTTTTTTTAATATTATGAATATAATTCTAAGTATTTAGATTTAGATCCAGTAAATGTATTTTTATCAAAGATCAGTGTGTTGATGATGTTAAAAATTACTAAAAAATTGTACAGTAGTGACTAATATGTGATGATAAACTTGCGAAAATTTGATTCAACGTAAGTTATTTTAGAACTGATATCTACTGTGATTGATTAAAGTGATATGTAATAAATGCCGTCAAGGCTTTGTGAGTATTATTGTCGATGTAAGTCCGTTACGAAATTTATAGACAAAATGCATTATTTCACTTTTCGAATGTATAAACAAAGGCTTTCTAATAATATTAGTCATTTGCATGATTCAAAAATCATCTAGAAATTAATTTTTGTATTATTAGTTATTTTACATCTAAATATCATGTCATTGACTGGTTAATTACATTATTATCAATGATTCTTGTTTTTTTTAATACAACAGATGCTTGACTAATGAGTAATGATACGTATATAGTTTCATATATTTTAGTATTCGGAACAAAATATCTTTAAAGCACCATTTGTTAACTAGCATATAGTATAAAAAACATGATGCTCTAACTGACCTATAAAACTGTTAGTTTTCAATAAAACTAAACTCTCGAAAAACTAGTTTAGTGTAGATAATAAATTAAACAATGTAGCTCCTTTTAAAATAAATCTAGAGTCTGATTGAGGATTGTGAAGCCCGTAAAGATGACACATTTAATGACAGCTATTCATCTATTTTAGTAAAACAAATCAGATGCGTATGGTCCGTCAAACGTTTAGGTCACCGATCTGCTTCCCAGATGTTTACTCATGAACTAAATTTAAGGAAATCTTCATAGCAAAATATATCAACGTTTGAAATGAGAAGCAGATAGTATACATCATAGATAGCATCCGTTTGACCACATTTTAGTTAAGGTAATCCTTTACCTGTATGACAAGTATATTCCAAATTCCCTTCCTCATAACCCTATTCTCAGTAATCAGGGAAATATGAAAACTTCAATAAACTGATTAAACAAATTTATTTGTACACCGTTAAAAGTTTATCTAATTCAGGCTTAAAACGGAGGATGACACACATTGTTAAGGTGTTGTCAATTTATGCATAGAATCTTAATTGTAGCGGTTCTACTCAATTTTGCTTGTACGATATAAAAGTCTATCTGTTTGGGAAACCCTCTTCTCTCGTTACTTAGTGATAATTACAGATGTTATGTGAAAGTAAAACTGGTTTAGCAACTACACTGATCACAGTTTGTCCCGTATCACTTGTATTATGACTATATAAATCGTTCTTTGAGGTACGTTGTATGAATGAGAAGTGGTACCGGCCGACTTCCTAAACCAAAGTTGGTAGACGTGTAACATAGTGCTTGAAACTTGACTAATTCAATCTCTATTCCACCGCTTCTAAACATTAGGTTAGTCCACATTGTATTGCCTTTCTCGTTCGACAGCTTGATAGAAGTTAGTTCTACTCGATACTAGTTAGTTTTCATGACGTTAGCACAACTTAGTAAGGTGATTCAATATAATTAACTCGTGACAGTTTGATAATAATAATATTAATAACAGTAATAATAATAGTGTACCTCTCATATTTGAAATCACTATCACTTGGTTATTGAATATGAATCGATCAAAGATGAATCTACATCAAAAATGATTTATTACCAGTAATTTTATGAGAGGTTACGCGTTACAGTCTTTCGAACTCGTAGAATCCGTGTTCTGAATAGTGTAGGATGTGAACATTGATAACAAGGGTTCAAGAATATGATTCATTCATTAGTTGGTGTTACATAGAATTTGAGACTAGTTTTCAAGTATGCTCATCACTCTCTAAATACCTTATCATCAAAGTCACTCACATGTTTTATAAAACACCATAGGATGGTAATTTTTTCTTCGAATATTACATGTTCAAACTATCTGACCTTCTTCCTAATTGGAAGACTTAATTTTCGTCATAGAAATTCTGACTGAAGTTGGGCGGAGACAAGATCAGAGTGATTCAAGCATTTAACGACTTCTATCATTTGCTTATTCCAACTTGAATAATCATACACTTTTCACCCAGAAATACAATTTACAGTTATTTGCTATAATTATTGACATTATTAATATTAATCGTATTATATGCAATTGTGACTTCATTTTCATTTTCCGTAGATAATAATAATAATAATAATAATAATATAAGCCAATTATTATCACAATCAGCATTGAATATTCAACAATTAGAGCGAACAAGTAATTATTTATGAGTAAAAATTGACCAAGATAACTGTATGCACATACATATTTAATAGATTATTAAGGTATGTTTTCCTAATCATTTTCTCTGTAATTATTCAGTTCATTCATGAATTGCCATTTAATTGCAGTAATATCTCTCTCTGTTGTTGTTGTTGTTGTATTTTCTTGACGGAAACCCTTCATTTTTATAGGATGTAAATAATAGTACTTAAACAACTTAGTAACGGAATAAATTAGTCATTCATTAATGGCACTATTATTGTTAGGTAGCTTTATTCTCAACTAATTACGATTTTAAAACAGTGTTTATAAACACATTTGTATTGCTTGCTTAACTAGAGTAAAGATATTCGGAAAGTTGTTTCGAGAGTTTAATAAACACGATAGGGCGCAATGAGAGTTTAGATTGGTGGCAGTCGGTTGGTTATTCCCACTGTGTCCTGTTATCTTTTCTGTTGGTCTAAAGATTCTCTTACGATATATTAAGAACAATAAAGCCTGGAAGTAAAATATCATTATAAATTTCACTCTGTTATATCATATTTACTAAAGCAACTGAAGATGAAACTAGATCCCGTCATGACACCGTCACTTTATATAGTGACATGTTAAATAACTCCATTGTTTCATCTACTCATCCGATAGACAGCCAATAAATCATCTAGATGTTTCTGATACCTTGGTAATTATTTCGAAGAAAAGCTGGTCATTTTCCAGTGTCAAATCAGTGTTGTGATCATTAGTGTCACCGATTGACATTGATTAAGGCCTCATAGGCTTCACTCCGTTAATTCAATACAAATTCATTACTGTTATTTCTTTGAAAGATGTGTGTAAAGAATATTCCATGCATCTTTTTGAATCTATTCTCTCCCAGAAGTAAGAGTTTTATGATGGTTTGGTAAACCCAACTATACAAGCTCATAAAGTATTTTTGTTATTATACAACAGTTTCATGATCTACCTAACTTTACAGTTCTTTGCCACAACACTCAACAACATGAAAAAGTACTTCTTTTGGTTAAGACATCGAAAACAAAATTTCATCCTGAAAGAATTGGTCGGCCTTTCAATCTTCTACACCTTTCTCGTTGATATTTACTCAGCAATGATATTACCAGTATGTGGAGCTAGAGCGAATGACACGCACACTGAGCTATGATGTTTGTGAGTGACATTCAGCGATTAAATAATGGAAGAAAGTCCCATGGATAATCGTAAATTGATAAGCATTAAAGATATTTCGATGTTTTTCTAAACTGGTCCAAAATGTGTAAAATAACTAGAAGACAGTCTTAGGTCTAATACCGATCTTATAAGGATATGTACTGTGAATACATGGTGAACGATTTCTAGTTTGTACTTTAAGCTTACAACGTTTTGTTCTAGGCTGAGATAATTCACAATTCCATCCTGTTTACAAAAGCAGTGAATAGTAGTATGGGAGAATTTCCATCTTCACAAACGTCTTGTTACATATGTACTGCAACTGTGTTTGGAAAACTCACAGCAAAATAATAAGACAAGTGTATTCGAACGGTAATTTAAATATCTGCAGATACGAAGCAGATATGAACGGTTTGATTCAATGGTTGATTTCGTAACAGTATTTTGATGAGAAGCGTCCATTTCACTTTGTAATAGTTTGTAGGAGATATATAGTTAATCATATAACTACTTATTCCAGTTGATATAACGACTCAGTCATGACCACTTTCGGAGATGGAGTTAGTTGAATCAAAGCCTGACAAATGAACAGATAATAGAAGACAGAACACAACACTAGACAAAGTTCAGGTTTTCTCATTACAAAATACTTTTAAGCAAAATGTTGGGAAGGAAACTGGACCTGTTTTAGAGTTGTCAAAACAATATAGTCAACAGTGAGCTGTGGTGCTTTTGTCATTTATTGGCAAATGAAATTGAGAATCCACAATTACTCTTAATTCTTGTTAGTAATGAGGATGGGACCATCAATGTTTATTTATTCATTCATTCGAGCGATATTGTGACGACGTTTTACACTACTTTGAACATGTATATCGTGGCGAGCAGAGATTTGTCAGATAACTATTGAGAAATGGAGACTATGGGACAATAGTTCGATTCTAGCTGGAGGCTCTTCGACTGTACTACCCATCAACAACTCACACAAAGATTTAAATCTACGACCTTAATGTTTTATGATAAGTCTGATATTTCCAAGTCAATTGATAAATTCCATCTGATATGCGGTATGACACGATCTTCATAATCAGTTTTGAAGTGTACTTCGTAAATTCTTTTGAGAAGCATAAAACCTTTAAATTTCACTGTGTCGGGAGTGATGCTACTATTCCAATGACGACACAGTAAGGGTTTGTATTCTCCCGTCGTTGTTAACATTTATGATTGGTTGGTCTCCACTGATACGTGTGCATCCGGAGTGGATTACTCCGATAAGTTTTAGGAGTTGCAGGGACACCTACCTGGTTAGTGGCTAAGTGGATTCTACTACTAGCCATTATCTGATTTGAATCGTAATTTGAACGTTCTGCTTATCCATCTCCTAGACTAGATGGTGAGACTATAATTTATGTACGACCTTTGGGCGACGTTAATCTGACCTCAAGAGTGTCCACCTGATAACTAGGATAGGATGAGGGTTATAATTTAGTGTGAGGAATTCGAATTCTGATTTACAGTTGATGGTTAAGGTTAGGAGATAGATTTAGAGTCTTCATCACGTATTGACATCAGTTATAATGCCATGAATCTATTTAGCCAGATGGATGAGTGAATTTCGCGCCAAAATCCGAGACCTGCTGTCTTATACCTGATTGGTTCTTCCATAAATTATAAGTTAACCTTCATTTCAATGGATTATAAATTGATAATCTAGTTATTATTTTGTAATAGTCAATAGAGGAACATCCTCGATGTTTGTCAAATGCTTCATTATTCTTTTTACATGAAACACTAAGATTTCACACTAAGTAGCTGGTTATTTCATGTTTGATTTATTGTTTTTATTTTATGGGTTATCATTGTTTGATCGTAACACACAATTATGTGAAATGGAAATGTTATAAAACTATGTATTTTGACATATTCATTCAATTTCTCCCTATAATTGTAATCCTTTTTGAATCGTATACTTGCAGATCTGTTCGTGAGTCTTACATCAAATGTATTTGATCAATAGTAATAATAACAATAGTAATAATAATTGCAATGTCTACACAAGATAGTCTGGTTATAAGTGGACAGTTAGAAATATATCTCCGTAATACATGGATACCAATCAAAGCAACTTTGCAAAATGATGCTTTGGTTATTGAATTGGAACACACTCCAAGTATTTCTAGCAATCACCACGGTTAGTTTAAATTTGATGTGTTGTAAACGTTTTATTTAAGAGTTCAGGGAAAGATGAAAATAAATATTCGTTCGCCCTATTTGTTTTTGTCTAAGTGTTAAAATGGGAACTTCCTCTTTTACAGTATATTCAATTAGGTAGTGCACCATCCATCACAGTGGTAGGCAAAATAAAATGATTCTTAATATCATTCTGTTCAAATAAGCAAACTAACGTTTGATAGATGTTTTGGGGAGGGGCAACTATTGTTATATCCTGGTGAAAATCAAATTACGGGTAACTTCCGAGAACTATTAATGGACTAATATTATATATATATATATATATATATATATATATATATATATATATATATATAATTCCTGTTATATAACTGTTCAGTAACTAGATTATGGATATCTATATTCTTTTTATTATAAGCTTCATTTTGACTTATAGATTATACAACTTACTATTCTTAAATTATGTTCATTTTATTAATTGCCGTCTCTCACAATCACAGCCACATTTTGGCTAGATCTGGTGTAAATGTTATGTCCTATTTTATGATGTCATAAGGTCTATTTGGCTTGTATATAAACCAAGTATGTTTTGAGTAGATGATTCGCATAGTGTAGGCTGCTATTGGTGTTCTGTATTCAACTGAGCGTGCTAGGCGAACAAAGGACCAATAAGGACGCTAGGCTACTCATACCGATCGAACGTCATTGGTTTAGCACAGTACTAAGATTGAATAAGTCGTATTTCCATTAGCGAATATACCACGTGATGACTAGCCGGGCTTAAAGACACAACAACAATTATTATTGCTGTTATTAGCTTTCTTATTATCAGAACAGCCACTGATATCTTCTTGCCAAACCATGCTAAGTATTTCGACAGTACCTCTGTACTTTAAGCTGAGTGCCTTCATGGTGAATGGAGTTACAGTGAGTGACAGTGTTGAAATTCTCAATATTACTTTGCCAGTGGGGGACAAAAACATAGGAATATGAACATTTGGAATGTTTCTAATAACCTCAAGTATATTTTTATTTATGATTTTAAGTGAAGGTGACTTTCCTTTTTACTAGTTTCAGTTATGAAGGGCGAGTGCGTCCGCTCCACGGTGACTGATTTTGAGACATGTCACCCAGTGTATTCAACCACAGATAACAGTTGTAACACTGACCCCAACCACGTAGTCTGCACCAATCTACATGGTTCAGATAACCAGTTATTGACTGATGCCGTGTTTTGACTCGGTCGAGCCTAGATTTCTTCTAACCTACTCCCACATCAAAAAAACATCGTCCATCCAGGTGGTCGATGATTATGGATACGTGACGCATGTCCTAGCTACCTCAGTCGATGAGAAATTACAACCCCGTCAACCGACTTGCCAACCTTTCCTAGTACCATGTGGCTGACCTCAATATTATTCACTCGATAGTCCAAACATATACGGGCAATGCTCCAGAGATACTGATGAAAAGAAGCCTGAAGCCTACTGTTGTGTTCATCTTTCAAATACTATGTTTCACAGTAAAAGAGCAATACAAAGCGAATTGTTGTATAGTAAAGTAATTTTCAATTATTAAACTGCACTTATATTGAGTAGGGTCGGTAATCACTTTTAACCGACGCTTTTTCTGATGCCCATGAATAATTTCAACACTATGGGTAGACATTTTTGATTAGATAATGAGACAAGCTGATCTTCCATAAAATTCACAACCTTTTCCTTGAACTCTCCATAAGGTCAATTTTTGAGGTTGGCTTTATCTCTTATGAACAGCGCTTATGCCTAAATGTTCTTATTGTGTTTTGGATTTGTTGTTATGGTAACAGTATGACATTCGTGTAGACTGACTTGAAGAACACATTTGTTGTAATACTACTTGTCCAGTTACTTATTTCTGTTATCCTCGTGGAGCATAGGTCACTGACAAGGATTCTTCAACCAACTCTGTCCTGTTCTTTCCTTTCCAGTTGTTCACGGGTGCTATTTATTCTTTTGATATCTACCTACAATCCCAGGCTGAATATGTTATTTGGTCTGACAAGTTTCCTTTTTTATTGAGGATTCCAAGTTAGGGCTTGGTTCCTCATGCACTTTGGAAACTTCTGTAATGTGGTCTATCCAACCCCAACGTTTTTTCCTAATTTCTTCTTTATAGTAGGTTATTTCTGATAGTGTCCGATCAAAGTATGTGGATAATCTTGCCTAAATGACTGATTATTACTACCTTATTTCTTTTCGACGATGGTTGCAATAGATCTCGTTAAATCGTCTCTGAACGTCTTTTTATCTACAGCCCTGAAGATATGTCCGTATTGTTTCAGTCTTCTGATATTTTCTATGTAATTACTGTATTTAGTGCGTTATCATCTAAATTTACCAAAAGTCTGACATTCAAATACATAGAAGCAATTTGTTTCAATTATTTGTTAAAGTTTCTCTTGGATTTTGCTCAAGTCACAGAATTCAATGTCCACGGTATAGATAAATTAATAATGATTAATTTATCATCAATTCTACTGAGTTTTTATCCTGAGGGTAAATATATACTTTATAATTGAACGAATAAGTTTTCAAATGCTTCTTAAAAGGTTTAAAAGAAGAAATCGCAATTCGAAAACATTTATGACGTAAGAAAAGATTGGGTCAACCATCCAATTAAGTTTTGTTCACTTGATATATTTATGCATTCAATGTTACCCAAACAGTACTGCAAAAATAGCTCATTTTAATATGAATCTCCAAATTTATGAAAATAATCTATTCCTATGGGCTTTACAGGTCATGTATTATTTTGTTTTATTCTATTGTTTACCATAGCTTTTAAAGTACTATACATTCGACGTCAATTTCTAAAACTATAGATTGATGTTTGTCAGGGAACTAGTCAAAACTAAAGTAGTAAAGTGTTTGTTAAAATACCCTTAGTAACATACACTTTTGACTCCAGGATCTCATTGTCTCCAGTCTTTGCGGTTAGCATAATATTAGTGAACCACTAAGTTTGAATAAACTATACCATTAACCATGAAATTTGTAGTTTGTAGATCTGATCTCACAAAACGTTTCAAGTGTTCACTTGTAAGAAGTCTGAAATATGTTGAATGCTTCTCAGATTACTATGATTATTTCAGCTGATATTAATTTTTAACGGAACATATTTTTAAAACGCTATCTAATCGAGATATCGTTAAGTGCATGTGACGTATGAAGTAATAAAAAACTGCTTTCTAATTTAATTCATATCAAGAATATTCTGTCTATTTATCATTATATGACTTCATTTTTTAATATTTTGATGTTGTTTTACGGCTGAATAGTCATGCAATGCGACTAAAAGTAAATGTTTATTGATTAAGAGAGATAAATAGTTAGACAGATAAATGAAGAATAAAAATGTCGAAGAAAGTCTATGTTTTATTAACGTTTGAATTAACATAATTCAAGCTGTTTTATATGATTATTAGCACATGATATATATATATATATATATATATATATATATATATATATATATATATATATATATATATAGTTGCAGATATCTGAAAATTTCAGTGAACATTTAAAACAAAACTATGTTAACAATCACCCGATAAATTTGTCGTTGAATTTCTATTATTTCATTTCGATTAATTTGTCTTGAACACACTGTCAGATTATGAAATTTAGTATTGTATTGTGATTGATATAAACTTAGAGTTCATATAACCCTCAACAAAAAGATTAACTCTGTTGTTATCAGCATGCCTAAATTAACAATAGTTCTGAATTTGTATTGTTAATAAATGAAGTTATATTTATTACAGATTGGAAGACTAACTTAACTGATAGTTTCAACACTGTATTTTGTGAATTTTAGTACTTATTGAAATCATGAAGACATTCACGGTGCCACATGAATTTAAACCTGTGCTATTTGGCTCCTATATCATAAATATTACTAATGAGTAGCTCAAGTGTATCTTCCTATCATTTGTACAAGAGCCAAGTTCGTAGTTCTGTTACTAAAAACTAACCAATGTTTCAGACATTAACTTAGTGCTTACTGTGATTTATTAATAACATTTATGAAACCTCAAAGTAATGTACTCTTATTCACCCCGACAGAAAATACTGTCAAATGAATTTATTTAAATTTTTAAACTAAGTCATTATAATTCAAAGGAAGTCAGATTTACTACTATCAAATAAAATTGCAGTTCATGGAGCTTATTCAATGGGACATTCACTAAGTGAACCACTTTCAAAACTTATGTATGCATTTAGTTTGCATAAAAAATAACGAAGTATGATTGGATAATTTTTCATATTAAAACAGAGTGGTGTTGGAATTTTTGAAAAAAAAAAACTGAAAACTTTATTGGTGAAATATGGAGTAAGTAGATTACAAAATCCACAAATAGTGAAGTTCTTGGAAGCATGTCTGCTAAACAGAATTATTAAACAATAAATGACATATTCATGAAGAAAACTTGATTCGGTGAACCGTATTTCTTTCTTAATAACTTATTGGATTTCTTTAGTTAGTTCAGTAATTGTTATACTGTAATTGCAAACATTGAACTGACTTCTTTTTGACCAGTTCATCATATTCTTTTTAAAATTAAAATTAAACTCTAATAATTAAGTTTATCAGAACGAATGTGATTTTGGAACTCTCTGATCATTTATTTCGTGGGTTGGTTGAGGTTAGACATTAGCACCGTTGGATGCAGGCTTAGTGGTCTAGACGCTAAGCGTTCGCGCGCGAGACGGAAGGCTCTGGGTTCGAGTCCCGCTAGCGGGATCGTGGACGCGCATTGCTGAGGAGTCCCACAATAGAACGAAACGGCCGTCCAGTGCTTCCCGGTTTTCCATAGTGGTTTAACATCAATCGATTCATGATCTCAATTAAAAAACTAATAATCTTTACAACCCCATACTGACATTTATTTATATTTCAAGATTTTCAAACATGGATGACAAAGATCAAACTAGAGATAAAATGAAATATGTATTAGCTTCATATATTACAGTTTTAATAAAAATCATCTACTCATCGAAGTACTTAAATTTGTCAAATGGATCAATCGTTTTAAACCTCTAGAATTAAGCTTTAATTGAATGCTACTACCTTTGATAAATAGTTTTAATCATTTACTGACTTCAGTTGAAAAAATATTCAAAATCGAGAAATATCAGGGTACTGTATCGTTTTAATTTAATACTTTTTAGAAGTACATACTGACAAAATGACCAGGTACATTTTTTAAAATGAACAATCTACACAATTCCTTTGTTTATGAACTATATTTATCGCAAATTTATTACAATCTAGCCAAAGTCAGAATAAATACTCAATCTTTATCATTCTTCACTATTCTACTGATAATTTATACCATATGCTTATACATATTTTCTGTACCAGAAGATATTTCCACTGCAAAACGTCTGGTACGTATAACAAAAGAAGAACTAAATGGTCTAGGAATCAGTATTAAAGGTGGTAGAGAAAATAAGACACCAATTCTAATCAGTAAAATATTTAAGGTAAGTAAAAAAATACTACCACTGCTGAATAATTATTTAACTAGTGTCTATTTCGCTGAGAAATATCACGGTAATATATATATATATATATATATATATATATATATATATATATTGGCGATGTAAAGTAGCATTAAAAATGACATTTTTTAAATATTTCAAAATCAGTTTATAAAAACTTCAGTTCTAAAGTAAATGAAGCACAAAGTAGCTTTTTATGCAGTCTAAAATGTATAATAATTCAAGTTTATCGTAAAAGAAGGAAGCGATCGCACACAAATGTACTTAAAACTTAATTTGATGAAACCAGTTGGATTAACTAATCTTTTCTTATTGAACAATTGTATCTTTCTAATTTTATGAATAATTTTTGTGTAACGTTAAATGGATAGTTAAAGTTATGTAATATTTCAAGAGTACTATCTTTTACAATAATCAACGAGTCATGCAAGTTAATCTATCAACGAATCGACTTATCAATGTAAGGAGCACGTAATCAGAAATGTTTCATCTTCAAAAGTTTTCAGTGTAAAATAAGAAAGTAAACTATGCGTTTATTCACATAAACAGATATGTATAATTGTAAATTCAGATTAGGCGATTTACTCACGGCCGGTTGAATTCTTCTGGAATACTACAAACACGTTTTGCTTTCATTGACAAGTTTGTAGATAAGACTAACTTGTTTCATGAAATAATTTATAATCTAAGAAGATGTAACCTGTAATTCTACATAATAATAGTACCGTTCTTAGTTCCGAGATCGATTTTAAATTTTCAATGTACGGTCCTAAATTATCAACAACTTAACAAGGAAGAATATACAAACCGGGAGACAGTAAGAGATCGATTGTATTACTTTTATTATTATTTTTTATTAGTCCTCATGACAACTAATTACATGCCGTTTGAGAAGACAAAAGGAGAGGATATTACGTAATGACGTATACTTGTACGTACTGTAGAATGAGGCGGAGTAAAGATGATTAATACAAGTTACTTAAAAAGCCGAGAACGTGTCTCTTGTTATTTAGGTCTCATGTTTTTTTATAAATAAATATAATCTAAAAACAGCCTGCTTCATATTGATTCCAAGTTGGTAATCTGTTAGTTTTGTCAACAACTGTAAATACGAGGTTACTCAATATTTGTATTATATTGAATTAATCAGTCGATTGATGATCTCAATATGGCTATCCTGATGTGTGTGCGGATGTGTACACATATGTTTGTATACATGAAAGCCGTCAGGTGGTTGCATAAAGTAGTTTTGTTTACAAGAACAAATAGATCAGCTCTAAACTCATCAGAAAATATATATTAATAATTCTTTTAGCTCTTAATTTTTCAGATAATGCATGGCATTTTAGTAAAATAAATATTTATTATTTCGTTTTCATTCATTGGATTCAGGGTATGGCAGCTGAACAAACTGGTCAACTGAATGTTGGTGATGCAATATTATCTGTAAATGGTGAAGATCTACGGAATAGTACACATGATGAAGCGGTTCGAGCATTAAAACGTGCTGGACGAATTGTTGAATTAGAAGTAAAACATATGCATGAAGTGACACCGTATTTTCGAAGGTAATTTTTCATAGTCATGATTACATTAGTTTTATACCATATTGTATAAAGTCAGTAAGGTCATTCAATACAACTTGGATCAATTAGTTTCTATTTTATATTCCGTAGACTTAGAGATAATTTTTCTGTTTTATTTATCATTGACTTAACAAAGAAATTGATGCTGAATGTAACTAGAAATGGAAATTTGGATATTGCTAAGTTCTAAAGTCTACTAGGAATCACTATGATTTTTAGCTCTCTTCATTTATGCAGTGTATATCAGAAAAAGAATATATATATATATATATATATATATATATATATATATATATATATATATATATATATATCACAAATTGAACCAAACGTCATTTCGTTAATACTAGTGACTTATTTGAAATGGTTAACAGCAAGCAGTGAAATCCAAGACTCGCGTTTCGTCCTCCTTGGGTCTCATCATGCCGGAGTTAATGCTCACTCGTGACTCTAACCCAGTACTGTTCGCCCCATACTCTATCCTGTTATCCACTTGGCTATTGAGTCCAGACAGTCACCGGCTCGTGCATTGGATTCAATTGCTGGCCATCATCTATCTCTGCTTCAAATGCTAGTAACTTACTGGCAATGTCGAGGTGACTAGCAAAAGATGCACATATAGCAAAAAAGACCTATCAGCTACAGTCCCAAACATCAGTGGGAAGATCCAAGCAACCAAAATATGTGAATTAAAATTATGATTAAGACAAGTTGAAATTTGGAAACTAGATACATTTTCCAAATGTTGCTTCCAAAATTCGACATTTTCTGATTTCTTTGTAAAGTATAAGCCAACAAGTATTTAGACAAAGTGTAGGAGAAACTGTAAGGTCAGGTGAATAATATAAGGCTGAGGGAATGAATTTCTAACCTTATTTCTCATGATGAGTCATATTATTGTTATTAGTTTAGTTTGTTTACTCTTTGTTTCCTTCTGATTTATATTTCTTGCCAACAAAAATATTTATTTAGTAACTTCACTAATAAAGGTCTCGTCATCCGTACTCAGTCACAACCACATTAGATTTTAACCTTCAGATCACTGAGTTTCGATCCAACGATTTATATTCCTAACTTCAATCAGTACGTGATATCGCATCATCATCTATTACCATTGGTAATATTTATCTGAAACCTGACTTGGTTGAACTCTTACGGTCAAGACTTCTCACTAAAACTTCAGGAGTTAGTTCTCGAGATCAGTAAGGTTTAAAGCTAGTTTTTATCATGCACTGGCATAAAATTAAGTTAATATTAAAAATTAGGAAGCACTGAATAGTTTCAAACATTTTTATTGTTAAATACAATGCATTCTATACAAGTTTGTGACTATGGGCCTCAAACCTCATGATGGCAACATGTAATGGTGGATTGTTATGTTTAACACCAAGGGCATTTTCTAGTTAGATTATAAGAGAAATAGAATTACTTGGTAATAATAAATGTAGTGAAAATAAATCTATTATCAATAATTGATACCAGTATCATTCATTATTTATTTAAGTAATTTGATAACAGTGATTAATTAGAAGTAATTGGAATGAATTTTCAATTAAATAACATAAGTTGGAAAATAAATATGGATAGAAATCATCATATTTTATAAACGGTTATTTGGTCTTTTGTTTGGAAAAGTAGATGGTCTATACTGTGAATGTATGATTTTCTAAGAAATCCTCCCATGAATACCAATGTATATATATATATATATATATATATATATGCGCCATAGGTAATGTAATCAGTAATGCCAATCATTAACCTACATAATTAATTGCGGAGAGGAACTAATTTAGTAACTTATATGACTAGTTGTTTTTAGTGTACTTCCTATGTATTCGAACTTTAAGCAAGAGAGCTTAGGTCCTGGTTAACTTAACCAATGGAATTTCGGATTACCAGTTTGTTTGATTTTTATATCAACCTAGATTTTATCCAACTTTTTAGACTCCAATTATCTACTTAGGTTATCACTAATAATATCAAAAATATAAATTCATTTTTACGAGTTAAACAAGCAGAATTTTATCAATTCTTAAGATGTATATCTTAAAGATAATAAGCACGTGACTGTCACTCACTATCGAAAGAAAACGACAGTGTTATTGGGTGGGGGGTAAAGAAAAATAATAAATAGTTGGTTAATTATGTTGCTAAATGAGTCTACTGGTTGACAGTGAACAGTATCATGTTACCTGATCTTTAGTGATGATCATATTTCATTGACCAGGTGTAAAATGTGAAAAATAAGTCTTATAACGCCATGTTGTTTAGAAAATATGTTTGTTGGTTTTAGTACTGACCAGAGATAACGTAGTTATTAGTTCAACCAACTATTCGGGTGTTTCTACTGATATGAAATTAATCCTAATGACTGTCGTTGTAAACAAATGTGAAGTTTTCAACATAACCTAGTCTGAGTTAACTTTAATATATAAGAATTGAAACACTGATATATGTAAAATGAATATTCCTCCCAATGAATTTTTTCAGATTCTACATTAATATACTCAAGTTAATAAACCAAGAAATACCCATGTCTAAGGAAAAGTACATCGTTTCAACTTAAAGCGTACAGATTCGGGATTACTTGTAAAGTAAAATAAAATTGTTAATTTTGAGATGATCAATATACAGTGTTAACTTGAAATTTTGGATGAATATAGATAATATACAATGCGATGATAGTGTACACATTCATAACCCTGCACGCAGGAATCAAAATAGAGACTTTCGGTTTATCATGCGAACACTTAACTTCTAATCTGCTTAACCACTGATGTGGGATTCAACGGTGTTAAGATAAGTTTAAGTTGTAAAAATACAAATAGGAAGGTTTTACCTACAATAATCAAATTATTTCATCATGTCATCAAAACGCTTGTTAACTAATTAAACCAGAAGTTCGTCAAGGTGAAGAAGGGGTTAAACATATATTTTCTGAATGCAAAACTCAGGTTGTTTGGTGCGAATGTCTACCATTTCAGTCGATTTAAAGAGTCAGTCTGACAGATTTAAGTAGATGGCTATTAACACGATATATATTGCAATTGATTGTTTCATATTATCCATATGACCTGTTTATACTAAATTAGCTAGAGTCGAGACGTTAACAGTCTTAACTATGCCTTTACTTGAATATACTGGCAGGTGCTCTCAACAGCGAAAATACAAATCCTTAGAACCCCTGCAAATATATCTTGCCCCAGAAGAGGAGTTGCATAGATAGATACAGAGGTGGGTTGTCTAGGCAATTTAACTTTAAATCTCTGAGCAACCATAGGACGTGTAGAAAACATTTATTTCAGTTTCCATTTATTAAAGGTTTTTTAAAATGCTCTGTGCACTAGCCCTAGCGTTTCGCTGAATGCATCACTTCTAAATTGTAGGCGTATAAATAGAGACTTTCGATCACAGTTTCGACTTCCTTTCGCTGCATTTTCTTGGTTCATTTTTCAGATTTATCCAATTTGCAACAAAGCATTACTCAGCTTAGATATAAAAAAACCCCACTGTTTTGAGATCACTTAATTTTGATATGATCTGATTCATAGGTTACTTTATTTTAATTTGAAAATAGGAGTTTGATGTTATTCCTCTCAATTCACTTTTTTGTCAGTATCGAAACATAAGTAAGAGATAATAAGTTAATACATCAGTAAACTAACAAACAAGTAAATAAATGAATGTATGAGTGTATGGATAAATGATCTATCATTAAAACTGAAAAACACAGATACAACATGGTATATCATAAAAAAGATTTATTGATCACAAATATAGAAACAAAAATAGTATTCAAAACGTCAGTTCACATAATCTACATTTGGTTTATCTCATTTGTTACTCTGGTAGCATAATATCCGAACAAAAAATTGGACATCGAATATAAAGTGAATATTATTATTGGTGTTAGTTGCAATTAGTAATGATAGTAGAATGAAGAACAAAATAATTTTATGCATCCAATTATAATTATTGATCATATGTAACGTCGATACACAAATGCAGAATTATACTCATATACTTTTCTTTATAGAAGTTACATTTTGATACCCATAGGATTAAGAGATATAATAATTATTATGGTATGACTTCTCATAAGTAGTGAATTAAATCAACCAATCAACGAATAAATGATGGAACAAATATACTTAAAAATGCCAGAACTATCAACAACTAGAAGTATTCCTTTTTTTGGCAATAAATCAACTAGAAACCATGATGATTAAATTGTTAGTTTTAAAGTTTTTATTTGTTAAATCTTTCACTGATCAATGTGTAATAAAATAGAGTTTCATTTCTTTTGTTTTCATCTCTCAACATGTTGACTCATAAATTATTATTAATGTTATCCATAAAGCCTATGAGAGCAGAAAAGAAAGCCAGAGCAAAGGAATAAAATAGAAAAGAAACTAATTCCTTTGTTCTTATTATGATGACTGATGATTATGTAGTGCTGTTTTGTTTTTAACTTGACTTTTGTTTTCTCATCATGAAAGAAGTTATGTCTAAAACTATTCCCTCCAGCTAACAATCTTTATGTACAAAGATAATGATGATAACCTTTCATATGATTAATTCTTTTTACGATTATTGTGTTCAACTGTTCGATCTCCCTCCCTTTTCCAAATTACACATTGACACACACGCATCTTATACGTATGGAGGCCTGGGTTGTTTATCGTTTTATCAATAAAGCAATAAAGAATATACATATCAAATAAGTAACCCAAACATTGCGTGCCCGCTGATAGCTGTTTTGTGATTTTCATTTGTTTGTTTGTTGTTGTGATTAGTGCTAACATTTCTTTCAGCAAACAATAAAAATATAGTACGCTGCATTAAATAAAGAGTGAACAGTTCTTTATGATATGCGTTTGTATGCTGATACGTTGAAATATTAGAAGTTTCCTTTTTTTATACACTGATCTACGTGGGCCATCCCATCCATTTACACTTATGAATCATGAGGTCAAAAG